TCCGCCGAGCTTCATCGCCACGAAAACGATGCCAGCGCTGTCTGCACCCGGAAATCCTGCAACACTCGAGGCTGGGCGCCTAGTTGAGGACGCTAGACACGATGATACCGCGGTCATCCTGCCTCAAGAGCGTCGTCTATCAGACTAGTACGATCTCTTGCCACCATAAACCGGCGTTTGCGCCACGCGAAAGCATCGGGCGAGTACACGCCACGCTGCGCTGGGTTATCGTCCTCACATTCCGCCACCACCATCGTGCCCGTGCCCTGGCATGCGAAACGACGCGCATATATGCACCGCGGAACGTAGATCCGGTAAGTGCCATCTCGCCGCGTGTACCTAGCAGGCACATTGAAAGCTCGTTGCTTACATGTGCAGATTGAATGACACTCGCGTAGCAGGCCGCCCGTGTCAGTGGTCCTCCGCACGTGCACTATACTCGATAGCCAGCAATGTGTCTGTGACCACCTCTGGGACAGCGCCCCTCACCGGCGCGTAGGGCCCAGTCGTGCATACGCTGCGCTTATTGGCCCCGCCTTCGCACTCATTTGTGCGGAAGATTTGGCCACACCGGAGTGAGTTTGCCTAACAAATCTCGGTACGATCTGCGCTGAAAAGCAAAAAGGTGTCGGACTCGGGCGTTGCGTGGGCAGAGGAGCGCCGTCGCGGCTGAGAACACTGTATGATGAGCAGCATCAGCGCAGCGTCGGACGTGGCTATGTCCACTCGACACGTATCGACGTCCATGACGCTCGTCTTGCTCTACGTATCGCTGTGCGAAGACACCTACGGTGTCCAGAACAGCATAATGCGCACCGAAGGTACTGCTATCATCTATAGCCGAGCGTGGTACGTGCACGCACTCACTACGCGCCGCGGAAGGGTAAAATCGTAGCGAGAGAGGGGTAATGGGCCACCGAGAGGTATGTAATCGTTTCCTCTGACCTGCATCCGCTCACACTGCAGTGCTTATACATCTCTTCGAAACAGCTTTGATCGCACTCCGATGCATCTGTCTCTGGCATCCACGTACGTAATCCCGCGGGCTTGCACACGTCTGCGCAGACACAGGACGACTCGCCGGGACGCACCGGACGAACCGCAAAGCGAGATCAGGGACGATCCTGCGCACCCATCGACATTGCGCAGCTGTACAGGCTACGGCGCCGGCTGCGTGTCTCCCACAACCATCCATCCGACGACGTAAGATCGCAATACAGCACTCCATTCAACGCAACGCGGCTCGGTGCCGGTTACACAATGCAGCCCAACACGAATCTGGCGCAGACGTAGCCCGTCATCTGCATCGCGCCCGCGCCCTGCTCCGTGAGTCCTATGCTCATCTTCCCGCCCGTATTCCTCGCGTACATTGAACGACGTGCCCTCATGCAGTGTCCGCTTCATACATGAACTGGCATGCAGGAGCTTACGGCGGCGGCCGGGTGTGTTGTGCCGAGATCTGGATCGGTTTCCGCTGGTAGCCTTCCGCGCATCCCCGCGTGCGTGCACATTGCGTACGCCGGCGGGGCACGATAGACCAACCTCGTGCCGGTTCTTAGTGTACACGGCAGGGCATTATCGCGCTGCCGAACGTGTCTTGCATTCGATGTCCTCCACACGCTGCGCATGTAAATACTTAGGCTGCTCGTCATTGCGGACGTCCGCGCGCGTCGAGAGGAAGAGAGGCCATGTGCGTATGGAAGCAGAAGGCGGCACCATACATGTCCGCAAGGTACCAGCTTACCTCCCGTACGGCACACGTCTAGGAGTAGGGGTACGCGCTCCTCGGTAAATGGAGAATCTTGGCCTGTATCGTAGATGTCGCGCGCGGTCCTCGTCAGATTATCATACGTGCATTATCTACCGTGACAGATGGTTCGAGGCATATCGCTACTGTGAGTATATAAATGCCATGGGAGGGTGCGTTTACACTGTGAAGCAGACTATTGGGTATCAGTAAATGGTAGCTCAAGATAGTCCAAGGCGTACCTCTGCGGCGTGAAGACGGACAGTCTTCGCATCCCGGGACCTCATCCTATGCCTCACCGGGCATTTGTCGGTGTTATCGTAGTCCACGACATTGCGCCCTCGTATCCCGAAACGAGAGATCGAGTCTAGATCGACGGACACACTGGCCGGGGATCATCGCTGTCCGCGTACGTCGCGGGGCCGTTCGAAACTTGACGAACACGGCCCAGCGGTGTCCGAGCGCGGCAAAACGCGGAGGGTATCTTCGTGATGCCCGGTCTCGAGAACTGCATCGCGGGCGCCCGTATTTGCGCCATACCGTTCCATCGACTCAGACGCACCCTGATACTGTTCCACACAAGCTGACGCAGGGTCGCGCGTGTGTTCATGCTGCACGCGGCGAGGACCTACCGCACCGTGCGCTGAAGTCAGCTGTGTGAGCGGTGTGCAGATCGCCGGACGTACCTAGAAGATGTCGAACGGGAGCCCCGTGTTGCCGATTTCGGAGATGTCGTCCGAGGACTGCGCGACTTGCCAGGGGCGGCTGCATGAGCTTGCATCCGGTGAGCCCAGTTCCACGCCGCATTTGTAACGCGCGCTCCGAGTCGACGACCACGTAGCCGGAGTATACGGAGCGCCAATGGCACTCGCGGTCATGGTCTACGTAGCATCAGGAAACGCTCCAGTTCCGGGTAGAGCTGCTTTGTACTTACTTTCGCCGATATCGTAAGCTGATCGCATTGGAGGGTACGGCAAAGAATACTTACTTGCGCGGAGGTCGTAGGCGAGGTGCAAGCACAGACGGCCGCTTTCTGGACTCTGTAGAGACCTACTATGCCATCATCGTTGGCGGGCATTCTTGCTATGCTATGGAATATCGAGAGCTGGGTCTCGAAGACATGTCGAGCTGGTCAAAAGGGTGTGTATTAGAATTCATCGCCGCTACGACTTCCATGAAAGATAGCGCGTGATTTCTGTGCAACGTACTTCGTGGGCTACGAGTTGGACTGCGACGAAGAGCATCCCTGTAACTCATGGCACCTGCTGCAGTCCTTGTGCGTACGCGTGCTTGACCTGGTAGTAGCTTGCTAATCCAAAGTTTGGGAAGTTTGAAGGTTATGCAAAGCACACCTCGCGTCTGTGAGAGCTAGTCGTGTTTCCAGGCGCTATTTCTTGTGCTCCAGGAGTTCATTGCGGCCTGTAAAAGCGAGTCTGGATAGCAGAGGGCGAGACGCAGAGAGACAGGCAGAGTGCGATCGCAGACCTCGCGTAGGCGCCCGCCCACCACGTGTTGTGTATGGGCCAAACAAAGCCACGCGAGCACTTCAGTCCGCTCGAGTCGGAGTCGCTCTCGCCAGGTCGTTGTCCGTGTGGAATATCTGAGCGCGGCCTGTCTGACCTCCGACGAGTCAGACTCGCTGTTCGCCTTCCACACCCTCGCAGTACTTCCACGACCTAGATACACCCTGAATCTGTTCTCGCTATACCCATACCGCTTTCCCTTGGGGCTCGCCTTTTCTCCGGCTCGACGCGTCCGTCGCCGTCTTTTGCTACTACACTGCTGCTCGACGCTCGTCTGCACCCGCTCTCTGCAAAACTCTACAGCAAAGCCTCCCGCCTTCCTACCCTCCCTGGCCCCTCCGAGACTGGCCCGATGCATTAGCCGGCACACATCCATAACACTCGTGTCAGCGTTTGCCTCCCGGAGCCGGCGCCGCAATCGAGACCTGCACTGCCTTCCTCAAGACGTCCTCAGTGAGCATTTTCCGGCTTGCACGTCCACTAGAGTCCTGAAGAGCACACCTAGGAGCATCGCCGGGCGCTGGGTACGACGATGTCGCGGACATCGCCGACCGGTTCGTCGTCTCTGAGTTGAGGATTCTTGGAAGCCGATCCGTGCTCCTTCCGTAGTTTCTCGTGAGCTTCGGTAAGTCGTTTTCTGTGCTAGGTTTTGCTTGGCGATATGGATACCAACTACGATGAACATGGATATTTCCAACCCCACTAGAAACGACATATCCGTGGACACATCATCTACGTCTTCCTCCGCGTCGCTGAACCGCCTCTCCTGTGTATCCCTTAGATAGCCTTGCCGATGCCTTGGGACAGCGTTAGGCGAGCACAAGCCACGCTGCGCTGGACAACGACCCTCAAGACACTATGGCATTAACATGCTCTGGCAGATCAAATCATGTGCGGCTATAAATCGACCGGTGCGGTAAGCATGCGGACGCCTACTTAGAAATACATTTTTTAATGTGCGTTGTCACTTATATGCGCAGATTCGGCGACACGCACGTCGCAGGCGGTCTTCGTCGATGTCCTTCGGCCCGTACACTATCATCGACTGCCGTCAATTTCCCCCGCCGCATCCACGCACGCATCACTCAGCATCCGTCGAAGACCCCATCTGCAAACACGTTATGGACAACACGCAGAGGTCTACCACCCGTG